TACCATTCATTAAAAAGCCACTCTAAACTTCTTCTGAGCTAGTTTATAAATATCAGTGGATTTACTTTGGTAAATCAGTTTTCAAACCTGGATATGCTGGATTTATTTAAAGAAATGATTGTTGGCTCCAACTTTCTTTTTTTTTTAATAGGCCTACAAAAGTTTAAAGATATAGAGTAAATTAATACCAAGTGACCTCACAGTGTTTTATCAATGTGGTTACTGATTTTGAAATAAAATTTGAGATTAAAACAGTTCATCTAATGACATCTACATTTCTGGATTAGTTTTGATTGATTTTTCCCCATTATAGTTTGTATTTTTTTACTTCTTTGCATGCCTAATTTTTTTTTTAATTGGATGCCAAACACTGTATTTCACCACTGTTGGATGTTGAGTATTTTTGTATTCCTTAAAATATTTTTGAACATAGCTTTAGGATATAGTGAAGTTACTTGGAAATGGGTTAATTCTTTTGGGTCTTGTCTTTAAAATTACTTAAGTGGGGCCAAAGCAGCATTTATTCTAGCTTTAATTTTTCCCCATTTACATGGTTAGGCACTTCTTAGTAATCTAACTGATGTGCTGTGAATTGTGAGCTTTCTCCCCTTGCTGTTGGTTCTAGTGTGAGCTATGGGCACTGCCCTCTCTGAACTTTGTGGGTGACCCTTTACTCAGTCTCAGGAAGTAGTCATTACTGAGTTAACTTTAAGGCTTTTTGCAGGTATCTTTAGTTCTTTCTGTGGAGCTCTCCCCTCTCCAGTGCTCTGGTCTGTAACCACTAGTCACCTTCATTTCATCACATTCTCAAGGCTATCTCCTCAACTGCGGAAGGTTGCTGGGGTCTGACTGGCTCCACCTCCCTGCACCCTCCCATACATTTTGTCTCATTTCTTTAGGTGTTTCAGATGGTAAGATAACTATAACCAGTTACTCCATCTTGGTTAGAAGTGGAGGCGTCTAAATAGGTCTGTATAGCTTTATTTAATATGGCAGCATACATTTCTGAGGAAGGTTTCGCTTAGTCAGTGAATATACCATTCAGGAAATTCGTGTAAGTGCTCCTATCATACCATATAGCACTATTAATCCCAAAGAATTTTATGTATATATCAAAAAAGGATTATAATAAGTATAGCACAAACAGACACACACAGGGACACACCCTTTGGTATTCAGTCCCAGAAAGTGAAGTTAAATGAGGATTCTCACACATAACTGATGGCCATTTAGTACCAGCCTTTGTTTTTGTTTTGTTTTTTTTAAATGAACAACTCTTTTATGTTTAATTTAAAAAAATAGAAAATCTAAATAGTAATACTTTAGACCTCGTATGATTTTTAGTCTGGGATGCTATTTTATGGAAAAGTTAGTAAAAGATATTTATGTCAGTTATTCTCTCTATATATTATTTTTAGCTAGAATTGAGGAATAATTTTTTACTGATAAGGAAATAATGCATCCATGTATAAGTGCCATTGAAACAATGTTTATCCAACATTTATCCAAAAAGAAACATTTATATAATACTGTAAATTGAAATAAAGTAAGTTTGTATAGAACTGACATTTCTTAAACTTAACATACAGTAAGTTGATAACTATATATCTTACTACCTCAGCTATAAAGTACATTAAAACATATGTTATTAAGACATTAAACCTGTAAACAGTATATTGAATGCCAACTTAGCTTTATACACTATATTCTACACATGGGCATGTGAGCAAAGCCACTCTCTGCTTATTTTCTAGGAGAAATTAAGATCTGTTTTGCAAAGAAGAGTGTTATAGGATAAAATAAACACGCTAAAAACTAGTGTTTGGAAAGTGAAATTAATAGTTTTTATTTATATGATAAGAACAGCTTATCCGATATCCACTGACATTTATATCTATATGTTTTGTGAGCAGGTGAAATCCTCCTGGTGTTTTAGAGTCATAGAATTGTAGTGTCATTTCATATTCTCTCTGTTTGGCCTCCTGAACTTTATAAAATTATGTTAAGGTGTGTTTTTTTTTTTCTGTCTATATGCCTCCAAAGAGTTTGTATTATATTCTTAACTTAAAATACACACAATTTCGTGAAATTTAAAATTATGTGGTATCAAATTCTGTCTTTATATTTCACAATCTACTATTGTTGAAAATGTCTACCTGAGACATACTGAAGTTCATCTGCTGATTAATAGGCTGCATGGTAATTTTGTTTATTTTTCCAGAGAAATTGGACCTTACATTTGGATATATTATGTTTCTTTTCTGCTAGTTTTTTTTAATCCTCACTTATTCCTCCAGGATATGATCAATCAATAACCATGTCTGTTAGGTTCTAGATGAAAAGTAACTTTTGAGAAGAGACAATATATTTTGTCCAAAATGTATTCCCTTGCATTCCTTGCAGGGTGGCTGGCACGAGTGATTAAAAAATGATTTCCGAATGAATGAATACATTGTTTGTAGTAAATACAGTAATCTCAATCATTACTTCTATTATTATATCTTTTATATTATAGAAAAAAACATATTATATCATTAGTATAAATGACATAATCTTTTTGGTGTTTTAATTTTTAAAATACATTCTCTACCTATCTTGTATTAATGGTATATCATGAGAAGGTGACTAAAGTATGAAATAAAATAAAAAGAGTGATATTATTGTGTCATTATCTAAATCTATAAAACAGTACCTAGTAATAGTATTTTATAATTCTTTTTTTTTTAAAGATTTTATTTATTTATTTGAGAGAGAGAGAGACAGACAGCATGCGTTTTAATTCTTAACTGTTTTAATTCTTCATTGGGAGCAGAAATGCCAGAACAGCAATACCAGTAATTTCACTGTAAAAATGACCTTATTATAAAGATTAATTTCTCTACTGTGTTTTATTGCTATATAGATTTATGATGAATGCTATGGACTAAATGTTGGTATACCCCCAAAATTCACATGTTGAAACCGAGCCCCCAAAGTGGTATTTGGAGTTGGGGGTCTTTAGAAGGTAATTAGGTTTAGATGAGGTCATCAGGGGTAGGCCCCCGTGATGGGATTAGTGTCTTTTTTTTTTTAAGATTTTTTTTTTTTCTTTAATTCATTTGAGAGAGAGAATGAGAGAGAACATGAGAGGGGGGAGGGTCTGAGGGAGAAGCAGACTCCCTGATGAGCAGGGAGCCCAACGCGGGACTCGATCCTGGGACTTCCAGGATCATGACCTGAGCTGAAGGCAGTCGCTTAACCAACTGAGCCACCCAGGCACCCGGGATTAGGGTCTTTATGAAAAGAGGAAAAGTAAGAGCATCGTCCCTTTCTGCAATGTGATGACACAGCCAGAAGGTGTGTTCTACAAACCACGAAGAGGGCCCTCACTAGAACCTCACCTTGCTGGCACCCTGATCTCAAGCCTGCAGCCTGCAACATTGCAAGTTAAAAATTTCTGTAGTTTAAGTCATGCAGTTACGATATTTTGTTATGGCAGTCCAAGCCGACTAAGACAGAAGTGCGGTGCTGCTGTAACAAATACCCAAAAATGTGGAAGCGGCTTTGGAACTGGGTGATGGGTAGAAGCTGGAAGGGTTTTGAGGTACATGCTAGAAGAAGCTGAGATTGCTGTGAAGGTCCTGCCCAAGGCAGTTCTGGTGAGGATTCAGAAAGAGGAGAGCTAGAAAGCCTCCATCTTCTTAGGGAATACTATATAAATAATCATGAACAGAATGTTGGTAGACATATGGATGGTGAAGACCATTCCGATGAATTCCCAGATAGAAACATAGATAGAACATGTTATTGAACATTGGAGGAAAGGTGGTTCTTGTTAGAAAGTGGGCAGAGAACTTGGCTGAATTGTATTTGTGTTCTAGTATTTTATGGAGGGTAGAAATTGCAGTTGATGAAATTGGATGTTTAGCTGAGAAAATTTCTAAGCAAAGTGTTGAAAGAGTGTCTTGGTTCCTTCTAACTGATGATAGTAAAATGTGAGAAGAAAAAAAAGAATTGAAAAAGGAATTGTTTAAAAAAAAAGAGATACGAGCATCTGGGTGGCTCAGTTGGTTAAGTATGGGCCTTCGACTCACGTCATGATCCCAGGGTCCTGGGATCGAGCCCCGCATCAGGCTCCCTGCTCACTGGAGGGCCTGCTTCTCCCTCTCCTGCCCCCCGCCACAAAAATAAATAAATAAATAAATAAATAAATAAATAAATAAATAAATAAATAAAAAACTAAAAAAGAGATCGTACTTAAAGATGTGGAAAATTCTCAGCCTATTCATACAGCAGAGAATACTAAGAGCGTGGCCAAACAACCCTTTGCCAGTTTCAACTGAGGGAGATAGAGATGGAATGAAATGAAGGAAGGCTTTTGGACTTCTTAGACCCTATAGGACTGGAACATAGTTATTTTGCTGTGAGCATGCATTATTCTTCAAGATTAAGGATAAATGATCCTAAAGGCAAATGCAGAGATCATCAGCTCTGCCTTCTTGGTTTCAAAATATGATAGGGTGCCATCGTCTCAGTTTGAAGAGATCAGGCTGCAGTTGCCAAGAGCATCCTGGGGCATAGGGCCGCCTGGCAGAGCCTGGTTGGAGAGGGACATGATTGCCACTGTCATAATCAAAACTTCTGTTTATTCATTACTGTTAATCATAACCCCAAACTGTACCACATCTCTTACCTATAAGCTAAGAGAAAAGTATTAATCTTCTTTCTCCTTAAGTTTGCAGATCAATACAATTAATGATAGATGTATAATAGGAAAAAGGCAAGAAGATTAATGAACCTTGCAGGAAATTTATTTGAGATACTGTTCTTACCTGTTGTGCCATTTGTAATATTGAGTACTCCAGTTTATTCTTACCCAGTGTCTTTTGGAGCATTTCATAATATTCTTTATAAATATTTAAAACCAGTTTTAAAAGACTTTGTGATTAAAATGCATTTGCATAAAAGATTGGTCAATATGTATTTAGGCTTTAATATTTTGTTATTTTTCTAGGATATAAAGTGTGATTGAACTGAACGTCTGTTTGGCTGATCATCATGAACCGTGCTTTTAGCAGGAAGAAAGGTAAGTTTATAGGACCTGGGGGTCAATTCAGTGTCACTCTGAAAATCAGGCAGAGATATTAAGCACTCAGTTTTTCCTGTTAACAAATCACATGGTTCAGGAATGAAATTAGAATAGAGCAACACAAATATGCACACATTGCTAATTAACCTTTTTTGGTTATCACCCTAATGAGAGTGGAGTTGTTTAATACATTTAGTTCAGAATACATTTATAAGAGTATGTTTCCTGGCAATTTTATTCTGTGCTGTGAAACTGCCAAAAAATAAAGTGATCTGAAACTAGTGCTACTGGATTGTGTAGCCATATAGTACTAAACTCCTGGGCTTATGTAAGTTTACCGTGATTTAAATTCATGTTTGTATATGTGTGCACATGCTTCACTTTTTATTGAATAATATGTGAGGATTGATGATAGGTAAATTTATAGCAATGAGGCCAAAATAACTTTGTGATTAATTTTGAGGTAAAGTAAATATAAATGTAATATGTAATAATTATCAGCATAGGAATGAAAGAAACAGCTAGTTAAATGTTTTTTTTTTAAGGGGCAGTAAAGCATGGCATTTGACAAATATTTCATGATATAGGAAAGATTGAAAAATTTTGATAGTTTTATGTAGTTCAGTGAAGTTAAAATAATGTATCCTTGTCTTTCTGTAAGAAGTTTAGTGATGGACACAGGGCTCTGTCCTGTTTAATATGTTGTCAGTGAAGTGGGAGAGAATAATTAAACAAATGCTACTCAACTTCGTAAGTGATTGATAATAAGAAGAGATAAACTGATGTGGTAGAATTAACAGATATTTGCGGGAGAAATGACCAGTTAGGTCATATTCCACACTGTAAACTCAGTAAGATACTGTAAATTGATGAACATGGGTCCAGAAAATCTAACACTTTCATTCCTATTTATATACTGTTATTATTTGGAAGGTGCACCTTAAGTGCTGTGTGGGTAAAACATAGCTGGAGAATTAAGTCAACAGTGTAGTTATCGAAGGTTCTAGTTAATTTTCTAACATATGAATAATGAACAGTCCAGAACCACAAAATAGATTGTTCTGTTCTATTCCATGAAGTACAGCATGGTGTGTTCTCGCTTTAAAGGATTGATTGACACATTGTAACATGCCCAGATGAGAGAGGCTGGGGAGACTTCAGGACTTTCAACCTGGAACAGGAATGGTGGCAGAGAACCTGAGAACCCTTGGTGTGGTCATGGGACTAAGTTTAATAAAGGTCAAATAGGTATAAATTACAAGGTCGTTGATGTAATGCAGGAAGAAATTCCCACAAAGTTGTGCAAACATATAATGGAATTATTGGAAGCACAAACGTTTATTGTTATGAAAGTGAGAAGCCCTCAAACATTTGGCTGTGGTACAGAGGATTAATGTATTCAGGAGGGAGTTAGGTAATGTGAACTTTCAGGCACTTTTCAACCCCGGGAAACTAGGAATTTATTATCTTACTTATTTTTCTGTATAAGGGGAAGGCAAAAATCACATTTATTGTCGTCTGTAGCTTGGTTCTGATTTAAAACACATACTGAAAGTAACATAATGTTTCTTTTAAATTTCTTTTACTAGTGGAAAAAGAATCTAGAAATAATTCTATGAGACATAGAAGTATTTTAATGAAGTAATAAAAATCTTTCATCACAACTCATCACTTTAATCATATTTTATTTTTATTTTTTTAAAGATTGTATTTATTTATTTATTTGAGAGGGAGAGTGGAGGAGCAGAGGAAGAGGGACAAGCAGACTCCGCGCTGAGCACTGAGCCCAACAGGGGGCTCAGTCTGGTGACCTTGAGATCATGACCTTAGCCGAAATCAAGAGTCAGTTGCTTAACTGACTGTGCCCCCCAGGTGCTCGGTTATCTTATTTTTAAAAAACACTTCTAGACTCTTTTTTTATTTGCTTACAACTCTCTTTTCCCATGGTTTTAAAGTTGAAACTCCCAATTTCTAATTTCTCTTTAGCTGAAGACGATGTTGGAATTTTTCATGGAGAAATCCCAAGTAACCAGCAATTGTATATTTGTTTCGTTTGATGACAGTGGGAATACGGCCATGGGGAAAATTGGAGTGATTTAGAGAATCAGGAAACAGAAGCATTTGTTCTTTTCCTGCTTTGCCTCATTCTCTTTAAAAAATTTCTTGTGGGGCGCCTGGGTGGCTCAGTCGGTTAAGTGTCTGCCTTGGGCTCAGGTCATGGTCCCAGGGTCCTGAGATTGAGCCCCGCATCGGGCTCCCTGCTCAGCGGGAAAGCCTGCTTCTCCCTCTCCCACTCCCCCTGCTTGTGTTCCCTCTCTCGCTGTGTCTCTCTCTGTCAAATGAATAAATAAAATCTTAAAAAAAAAATTCCTGTGATTTCCTTTTTTCCTCAAGTCTAATGATTAATTATCCTCAATATTAGAATATTAGATTATTGATCAATATTTTACTCTAATTTCAAGTTAGAACTTGATACTGGAAGTTCTACCTACCAATTGATTCTGATTCTCATTTAGTATGTTAAAGGAAGAACACTTAGAGCCTCTGCTGCTAGTTCAACCAATACCACTATTTCGTTGAATTTTAATTTGAGCTAGAAAAATGGAATTTTATGCGAGAAGTCATATATTTTGACAATTGGGAGCTGTAATTGTACCACTAGAGAATATATAATTTAGTCATGTTTCCGATAACTAGTATCAGCATACATTGTATATTCTACTCTAAACAAAGCAAGATGGTCTTTAATCAGTAAAAGCTTTTCTTTCATAAGTGTCCAATTTACTTGGTTATCACATGCAATCTTACTAAATCGTCCTGAACCTCAGAAGCTTAAGGCAAAGAGATTGTTATCTTAAACTCAAACATATATATATATATACTTTTCTTTTTATCAACTCTTCCAGTTAGTATTTTGTCTGGTATTCTTCGCTTGAATTAGCTATTGACTTCACTGATTTTCTTTGCAAATGCTCTAATGCTACAGCTTCTAAAAAAGACTGAATGTATTAGAATTGCATTATTTGGACTATTTTGAAGAGATCTGTAAAAATTAGTCTTGACTTCATAATCATCAAATAAATTTTAATGAATGTATTTGTTCTATAGCTCCTTTTCTTTTTTTGGATTACTTTTTACTTTTACATTTTAATTTTTTAATATAAATTCAATTAATTAACATAGTATATTATTAGTTTCAGAGGTAGAGCTCAGTGATTCATCAGTCTTATATAATACCCACTGTATAGCTCCTTTTCTTACGTTAGCCTTCTCTTTGAATTTTTAAAATCCTATATGCTATTCATTATGTCAAAACTGAGTAATTTAGTAAAACATAAAGTTTTCAATGTAAGTAAATGTGATTAAATAATCCAACTAATTGCACTTTATTTTAACCTACCAGTTGACATACTGATGAGTAGATATAATCTCAGTGCATAGGACTTAAAATTCAATATTTAAATATTATTTCCCTTTTTATAATCCGTTCATATGCATCTGTTCACCCAGCAACGTTTAGTTTTAAATTTGATATACTCAAAGAAGATGCTTTCAATATGCTAAACTCTGGTGATACAGAATAAATGAAGTTACTGCATCATTCTTTTTTTTTTAAGATTTTATTTATTTATTTGACAGAGAAAGAGAGAGAGAAACAGCTAGAGAGAGAACACAAGCAGGGGCAGTGGGAGAGGGAGAAGCAGGCTTCCCATGGGGCAGGGAGCCCGATGCAGGGCTCGATCCCAGGACTTTGGGATCATGACCTGAGCCGAAGGCAGATGCTTAACAACTGAGCCACCCAGGCGCCCCTACTACATCGTTCTTGATGAGCTCTTAATCTAAATGCATTTTGAACACTAAGATTTATTGACCCAGCAGCCATAGTGGTTTGACACTTGCCAAATATTTTGAAATGTTGGCATTTCCCTTTACATGACTGTTTACTCTTGAGTCAGTGATTACAGTGTAATTTCAAGGAAGGGGACATATTCCTGAATGTCTGTGTTGCTGCTTCTGTACCATTTCCGTATATCTGATTGCTTTTGTGGGCATAGGTAGTGACCAGAGACCATTGTCTATGCTCACTCTTCAAGGGCAGGCACATCTATAGGAGTTAATATAGAGAGTTTTATTTGGTCAATTTTTTTCTTTTGCCAGAGTGTAAATTAGGATGACGGTAAGGATGCATTTTAGGGATCTTTCAGGTTTTATAAGTATGCTGCCTGTACTAGAGGTATGTAATGAACACCCGCTAAACCATCATCCCTTGATAATGTGAATGTAGATTTTTTGTCATTGTAGCAATTGCAGTTTATCTACTGGTCATTTACTATTGTGATTATTTTAATCTGTCTTCAGTACCAGCTGGACATAACTCTCCTCTTTCTAGGTCACTGCAATACAAAACTATAACAGAGGTAGTATCATCAGTTTTCCCATAATAGTGGCTTATAGGAGAAAGCAGTTATCCCTCTTCCTCAGGGTTGGAATGAACCATTATATTCAGAGTTAGACTTTATGTCCTTCTGAGCAGTGTTGTATATCTTGGAAAAGGAGACATGAGAAAAATTGAGTTAAGGGGTTAAAAAAAGAAATTGGATTTTTTTTTTTTTTTTTAAGGTTTCCTAAAGGCAGATCTTTGTTTTTGTTGTTTTGATGTTTTTATTGTTCTGGTGTATTGTGATTTATTTCTTTTAATATACAAGGGCAAGACTGTATCCTAAATCTAAGTACAAATTATTCTTGAATTAATCATATCACTATTCAGTAGCAGTCACAAAGAGAAAACTGTAATTAAAATAAAAATCCTTACAGGAAATAAAAATTTCACATATTATCGGCAGTATGTCAATATTGCTTTTTGAAGCTTAGAATGTATTGCTTCTCAGAATCCATCACCCAAGTACAACCATCACATATCCACTTTAGTAGTCAGAAAGAGCTCTAAAATTCACCATGAGCTTGTTGGGATTTTTACCAGTCCTTCATGTTTTGTCTTAGAAATTCTTATGAATATTGCATTGTACCCCATAAACATGTTTAATATAACTATAGTGCGTTATTTTCCAAATGGTATAAAATAACTGACATTCCAGAAATATAGGCCTTTTTCTTTTTCTTCACATTCCCCCAGTTTGAGAACATATTATTGCTATCAAACTAATTTCTGTTAACGCCATTTTCAAATGTTCCAAATTGAATGTTGAAAACACTTTGTTAGTAATCTTTTTCCTTTGAGTATGTACTTATTTACTACTTTCCATGGTAAAATATGTCTTTGATTCTATTCTGTTCATAGTATTTATTCTAAATTTTTAAATTCCATGAGGAATAAAATACAAAACTCTGCTAAAGGAGACAATAGTTTTTGAAGATTAAAATTTTAGTTTCCAAAAAATGGTCACATTTGATTTGTTTAATGTTTTTTGTTTTTTCCCCACTTACACAGTCCACAAAATGCTTTGGAAGATGTGTAGAATATATAAATAAAATTCAAACTTGAATGAAAAATATTTTTTCTATTTCTAGCAATAATATACAATTCAAATTATTTTCAGTATCTTCTATCCTTTTAGTCACATTTATTTTTAATATTCTCTTACACTAATCTAAGAAATATTTTAAAGATTTAAGATTTATTGATTAGGGAATTGGAAAAAAAAAACCTGTAAATCATGAGAGTATAAATGGAAAGAAGAAAGATGTCACATAATCACATAATTGATATAATTGTCTTCCACTGAGTTATTTTTTTATATTCTTTAGAAACTTAGTATCACTTTATTATTTGAATACTTTTTAAAGGAAAAGCTAGGGACTTTTATATCAAAGAAAGAATCTTATAAGCACCTTCCAGCAACACCGTTCTCCTGTGTGACTAGTTATTGTTTCTCAATTTAGCAAAAGAATCCATTTAGAAATGCTCCCACCCATATCAGACTCCTTATGCTAATGAATGAATGACCCCCTCAGAACGTGTAATTGAATTTAACCTTGTGTATTCTTCATTGCAGACAAAACATGGATGCATACGCCTGAAGCTTTATCAAAACATTACATTCCCTATAATGCAAAGGTAAAGTGGTTTATATGATATTTATTTAATTTATTTTGTTACAGTATTATTATTAAATTCATGGTTGATCTAAGAAGGATTGCTTATGCATTGGCATTTCTTAGTAGATGATTCCAAAAAAAAAGTTTGCATAAGTAATTTTGTAATATATAGTATGGGAAGTGATTTTTTTTCTCCAAAGAAGTAATTCTTTTGTCCCCTGTCACTCCAATTTTATCTAATTATAAAGAGTATTCTTTATAATTTCTGTCTGTCATGCATGTATTTTCTTCAAATAATTTAGCTATCTTTAAAATTATTTGCAATATCATGGCCTGTAGGAAATAAAACAACCAACAAATTGGCTTCCTTTAAAAGCATTTTAATGTTGCATTGCATAGACGAATGTAAAAACTAACCTGATCATGAGAGAAATGAGCTACAATTTAATGAATGCAATTTTCATTCAAAAAAAGAGACAAAACTTAAACTGTTAAGAAAACATAGAAAAAGCACATTTTTGAATTTCATCTTCAGTTTTCTTCATTTTAATAAATAGAAGCAATCTGTACTCCATATCTTCAAAGCAAAGGTCCTTAAAGAAAGGTGTTACTGTATAATTAGGGAACACAAAACCTGAAATAGATTTCAGAGAAATCTGAATCTAAACTTAGAATACACAGAAGAGAAAGTTGTGTTAGGGAACATGCAAGTGGGTCAGATTTAAGTAACTGACCTTTGGACACAGCATGGGGAAAACAGAAAATGATAAAATTATTTTCATAAAGAGAACTTAAGGATTTATGAATTAGCAAACTCTATACTGGGATATAATGAGATGAGTTGTAAGGAATGATTTCAGGAAAAATTTAAAAAAACACATATTGAACAGAAAATCAATGCTGTTTAATAGAGAACGTCTTAAGTGCTGGTCTGAGTCTGAATCAGTAGGAAGAAGCATTTATTAAGACCATCTAGAGATTCATCCAGAGCTGTTGCTCAGCAGTGAGATTTGTAGAGTATGGCAACTCCATTTTTTCTTGCTGACTTTGTAGCAAAGAAATACTCTAAAATATTTTCGGTGTAAAGCTAATATGGTTGAGATCACTGCAATGCTTAGGACTTTCCCTCTAGTGTTAACATGAGGTTTGATTGCCATGATTTAGCATGAAAAGGTTAGTTAGCTAAATGAGAAAAATTGAGTTAATATTATCTCTCTCTTCCACAGATATTCTTCATATTAGCTATTGAGAAACTATATGAAAACGATTTAGAAAAAATTAATCTTGAAAACCACTATTATTTTAAAGGGCATGCTCAGTTTTTGATAATACTATCGATCATACTAGAATCATATCTTTTAAGTGAAACCACCACATATTTATTTTTATATATGATTGAAATGTCTCATTTTGAAAAACTAGTTTATAAAGGATTGAAAGATTCTGATTAAAGTATCCTTTTTTTTTGTTAAAGATTTTATTTATTTGACAGAGGAGACACAGTGAGAGAGGGAACACAAGCAGGGGGAGTGGGAGAGGGAGAAGCAGGCTCCCTGCTGAGCAGGGAGCCCGACGCAGGGCCCAATCCCATCGTGACCTGAGCCGAAGGCAGACGCCTAACAACTGAGCCACCCAGGCACCCCTGATTAGAACTGTCCTTAACTTAAGCTCTGTGGATTGATGTGAACAGTGGAGATCTGCTTGTCTACACGGACAAGTTGCCTGTGCTATTTTACAGGTGCATAATAGCTATAAGACATTCTACATGAAGTAGAGGGCACAAAAACATCTTCACAGACTGGGGTCAGTAAATTATGGAAGAGCAGGTTGATTTTGTCCATTCTAATATGGCCTCCTGAGCTATAATATATGTCAGGTGTACCAAGTAGTGTTGCAACTATTTGAAGAACATTATTTTTTTCTGAATTCCCCTTTTTTGTGGAACATTTCAAACTCATCATTAGTAGTTAGTTTTGAAAATTTTCTATATCTCTTCAGAGTACGTGCTACTTGAAAACCAAATCAATGTCCATAGGATGTACCTTAGCACAACAACAACAAAAAATACAGACTCTTGGGGTGCCTGACCTGCTCAGACCATAGAGCATGTGACTCTTGATCCTCAGGGTCTTGAGTTCAAGCCCCATGTTGGATGTAAAATCTACTTTTAAAAATCCACAATAAAATAGCAATAAGAAAAAGAAAAAGAAACAAAAAAGAAGGAAAAATAAATACAAAAGGTTAATAAATATATGAAAAAGATCCTCCACTTATAATCAAATAAGTACTTAAAAAATACAGGCTCTGTACATTTGATGAATTAATGCATAATAACATTTCCAAAGTAATTACAAAATAGTTACATTTCAGTAGGCCCTAATACATGCCAGATACATGATCTCATTTATTATTTTCCATGACTCAGTATGGTGATTATTAATTTTTACATAAGAGAAAACTTTATACTTTACGTAAGAGATAACTAAGGCTGAAAGATTAAGTAACCTGCCTATTGTCACAAAGCTTGTAAGACAGAGCCAGAGTAAAAAACTGAAGTCGATGTGACTTCAGAGATTTGCTGTTTTTATGTATATAATAACACTTGATTAATCAGTCATCCACTACATTGCTGATATGTATAAGGTGCTGTTACTGAAACTTCACTGAATATTGGTGCAGTTTCAGAGCTATATGACACATGTCTTATATTCTCATGGATCTTATCGTCATAAGGAAACATCATACAAAAATAAGCAACATAAAAGTTAGATCCTGTTCTGTGTCATTCAAATGTCATTTAACAGAAAGCTATAGAGATTCAGAGAATGGTGTGACTCTTGTTTTATGAAAGTGGGAGGGAGGTAGGATTTCCAAGGATCAAAACAAGGGAGGAGTGACCATTTCACGCAGAGATATCTGAAGGACGATGAGTAGAGTCCGTAAGGTCTAAGGTACAAACTGAATATGGCAAGAGTTGGGCTGGGGCATCAAGTACTTAACGATGGTAAAGTATTTTATCAGTCAAGGTTGCATCTGAGAAACAGAACTACTAGGATGTGTATACACACATACACTTATCTCAAGGAATGGGTTACACAATTTTGGCACTGGCTAGGCAAGTCTGAAAAGCATATGGCAGGCCATCAGGAAGGGCATGCTGAAAGTTCTTGGGCAGGAGATGACCACACGTAAAATTTCTTCTTTAGGGACATAGCAGTTCTATTCTCAAGGCCTTTAAATTGATTCTATCAAACCCACTCATGTTATCCAGCTTGTTCTTTATTTACATGAAGTCAGCTGATTATAGATGTTAATCATATCTATAAAATAACTTCATGGCAACACTTAGATTACTATTTGACTGAGTAACTGGATAGTATAAGCTGACCAAGTTGACACATAGCACTGACCATCACAAGTACGAATGCCGGGCAAGGCTAAAAAGTTAAGTTGGGAAGGCTTTGCGTGGCAGGAGAAGGAGTCTGAGTAGTGAACTAAGTAAGTAGGATTTTAGGAAGATAAATCTTAAGTGATCTGAAAGTTGATTTGGATCAAGAGTGATAGGATGACGTTCAGCTTCTTAGGAAGTTAACTTTAATGGTCCAGGTGTGTGGTCTTATGTGTATACAGGGTAATAGATAAACATATAGTGGAAAATAAAGATGTGCTAAATATTGCAAGGAAAATTGATACAACAGAGGAATAATTTGTATGTGGGGGAAAAGAAAAATACCTATTTTCATCCTGGCTAAAAGAGGGAATGATCATACCATTAAAAGATTTCCACCACTTCATTCACTTTTGGGATCTGCTGGTTACAAAATAACCTGATAAATTAACCAGAGCTGTTCAAGAACTGTAATTCTTCCTGGGGAAACATGTAATAACGTTTACATCTAGATGTTTTCAGTTTTAAAGTAATAGTTATCTGCTTTCATGTTACAATTTCTTTTTTTTTAAAAAAAGATTTTATTTATTCATTTGAGACACAGATATGGAGAGAGAGAGAGAGAGAGAGAGCATGAAGAGGGGGAGAGGCAGAGGGAAAGGGAGAAGCAGGCTCCCCGCTGAACCAGGAACCTGATGTGGGGCTCAATCTCAGGACCCCGGGATCATGACCTGAGCCGAAGGCAGACGCTTAACCATCTGAGCCACCCAGGCGCCCCTCATGTTATAATTTCTTTAATTTTTTTAAGAACATATTTTAGTTCCACATTCTTTCATTTTTATATAAAATTCTATTTCAGAAATTCACATTTAATATTTAGAATATGCTTATTTCAGACCATATGTGGATATAAAATATTAGTTGCTTTCAAAAGTATTATTCTGTATAAGGTTCATTAGTTTTGGGGTTTTCTGTTTGTTTGTTTAATGAGCAGTGACAGCTTTAATACCAGTTCATTGGGAATTCTGCATGTTATCCTGTGTACTCTGTAGTGATGTTTTCAAATTGCAGGCTATGCTCCATGAAAAAAATGGGGTCATGAAATTAATGCAGTGGGTCACAGGAGGCATGTATTTAAAGATGAAATAGAACAGAAAAGAAAAAGAAACGACATTTTTAGAATGCATATGGTAAACATCAATTTGTTCATAAAATTGTGGTTCATAGTCATTGAATATGAAAGCCACTGCCTTTAAATGGTAACCTGCCTTTAAAGTGTATGAAAGACTTCACCAGATTTAACCAATTTAAATCATAATAATAGGGGGAGCTGCTTAAAAGAGCCATTAAATTTTTAATAGAAGAGATGATCCACATGTAAGTTTAACCACATGCCCTCATTGAATATAGCATCTTAAAATCATTTCTGAAATATGCACGTAAGCATGGTAGGAATGATAGAGAAATAAAGTATAATGTAAAAATATAGGTTCACTTGTGCACTTGTTCGTTCACACATGTGCTTATCCATTTGAATGGAGTTCCTAATATATGCAAGGTCCTGATCTAGAAAAATGGGAATTGATTAGTAAACCAAATAGATAAAATCCTGCCCTCCTGGGCTTTCCATA